CGATCTCGACTCGCATCGTGACGAGCCGTTGCTTTCCCTCCCCCAGCCCGCCGGTAATAAACTTTCGGTTAATTTACACGCTCGGTGTTATGCAAATTTCCCGGCGGGAAACAAGCTGTTCCACGCGCGTTAACGGGCGGCGAAAACAGCTTATGCTTGCGCAGTGCGGCATAAACGCGGCCGGGTTACGAAATAATTACACGTGGGGCATCGTTTTACGAAACTCGACCAGGAAAACGTTGCTTCCCCTCCAATTTTTTTTACGATTTTACTCGGCTCTCGATCGATTCGTTTTCCCCGAACGAGTGAAAATACACTCGGAATGCGATGGGGAGGGGGAGGAAAGAGGAATCGGATGGACGATTATTGGCCCCCGAACGAATTCAAATTCCGATGAAACGACACGCAGCGTTTGGTCGTACGTAAGGAATGGTCGATTCGGAGACGGTGGGATGCCGGTCACGCGCGAGGTCGCGTGTTCCAGCACGCGGAAAGCGCGTTAAATGGAGGCGAGGAAGGGCGAGGCGACGTCGAAGGAACGACGAAGTTGGCTCTAGGCAGAAGAGGGAAATAAGGAGCTCGATCCTGGATGCGGCGAAGTAACGGTCCCCACCGGTCAAGGCTCGCCAAGGCCTTTTATCGCTTTTGTCGGCCTCCTCGCCGTCGCGTTACGTCTCCCCTCGAAGGATTCGTTTTCTGTCCAATCCTTCCGGATTCTTATTCTTCTTGTTTCTATATATTTGTAATCCTTCGAGTATTGATACACGCGCGACACCGCTCTTAAAGAGCGTTACGTCATTCTTATTTACGAAGACGACGTTACGATACGAAATCGAAAAGCGGAAGTGAAAATATAATCGCGACGTCGGACTCGACCGAGAACACGGTCGACGAATATGACGCCGGTTTCGTCCGTTCCCTCGTCGCTGATTCTTCTTTTCTAACCAACGCTGCTGAATTATTTATGAAAGACCGCGAGAACTATTCTTATTGTTAGATCCTTCCCGAGGATGGATTCGAAGAAGCTGAGATAATATATCTTTGCAATAATATATCTCTATCCTTCTCGTTCAATTCTTCGAGCGGATCGTTTTTTTTAGCGAAAGGAGATGGTAGAAAACGCTTTCGAAAATTTTACGTTTGAACAGCGATAAAAAGGAGGGAAAAAATTGGTGTTTTCTTCTCGCGCTGATAATTTTCTACAGACGTTGCCTACATCCTTCTCCCGTATGAAAGAAATTTTTTTCATCCGAAATTAGACGATTATCCTGTCCACATTTTGGAAAACAACGCGATGCGAATGAAAACGAACATCGCGATATTTCGCCTCCTCTCGTAATGATCGTTTCTCATTCTCTGCTATCTAAATGCTCGGAAAAACGAATTGAACCGCATCTCTTTATCTGTGGCAATTTCCTCGCCGAGAATTATATCGTAATTCGTTCCAAGAAAGGAATCGTTCGTCTTATCGAGAGGAATTGTATAAAAATGTTACGCAAACTGGAGAGAAAAAAGCGTTGGCACGAAGAATCCTTGCATAATTATTTCGAAAAGTTTACGAACAAGGTACTTGGAATCGTCCAAATTATGTTTTACGACAATCCCCATCCTGTTCGCACGACGTTGAATAATAGTTTTAGATCGAATTATGCTAATATTAGTCTCGTTAAAACGAGCATTACGAATCCTGATCCTTTTGTTCTATCGGCCAAAGTACGTTTAACCGTTTTCTATATAAACGCTT